TACTTCTGTAAGTTCAACTTTTTTAGAGTCCACATAAAAGTGAGATCATGTGCTATTTGTCTTTCTGTGCCCGGCTTATTTCACTTAGTATAATAGCCTTCAGGTTTGCCCATGTTGTTGCAAATGACAGAATTTCCTTCTTTTTAGAGGCTGAATAGTATTCCATCATCAATATATACCACATTTGTATCCATTCACTTGCTGCTGGACACTCAGGTTGATTCCATATCCTTGCTATTGTGAATAATGCTACAATGAACACACGAGTGCAGATGTGTCTTTGACATATTGATTTCATTTCTTTTGGGTAAATATCCAGATGGAGGATGGCTGAATTATATGGCAATTCTAATTTTAGTTTTGTGGAGGAATCTCTATACTGTTGAATAGAGATACTGTACTAATTTATATTACCACCAATGGTGTACAAGTATTTCCTTTTCTCCACATCCTTCCCAACACGTGTCATCTTTTATCTTTTTGATAACACCCATTCTAACAGATGTGAGGTGGTATCTCATCGTGATTTTAATTTGCATTTCTCTGATGATTAGTGATGTTGGGGATTCCACTTGAGATATACTCTGGGCTCTGATGGGCACAGTAATGAGCAAACAGTCCGTGATACACAGACCCAGCATTCTCCAGCTCCACTGAGATTCTTTGCCTGTGCTCATCCCTGAGGCCTCTGAGTTCATTCCTGAGCACAGCAGGTGAGCAGATGCTGCCAACCATAGGACACACTCTGGACATTTCCAAGGGACTCCGTGGTCCACTGGTGCCTGGGACAGATTGATTCTGTTCCAGTCATGCATGAATGCCATCCCCAATCAAGGATTGAGGGTTCCAATGAGATGGACACACACTAGGTACTTATCAGAATTGGCAGGGGTCCTGACCTGCCATATTTCCTCAAATTTGGAAGTACTCTTTAACATCCTTAGTCCATCACCTTCACCTTACAAATGGGAAACTGAGCCCCTGAGAGGAACATCCCTCCACCCTACCCTGTCCCAACCAGGAGCACACATTCAACCAGGGGCAAAGTCGGATCACTCTACTCCCAGTCATGCTCTTCCCACAGGATGCAGACCGGAGTTGACTTATGAGTAACGTGGTCTGCATCATAAGGATGCATAGGGCTGGGATAGGCTTCCCAGGGGAACACAGGAACTCTTACAGAGGTACAGAGACAGGAGCCAATGTCAATGGGAGATGCCACGCATGGGGACAATTTGTCCAGAAGCGCATTTTGCAAACTGCCAAATTAGCAGTGTTTTCAGAGTCTTCATCACGACCCTGCCCTTATCCTCTTCTTTTCAGAACTTCTAACCTTTTCTCCCAATCTCCTTCTGCACCAGAATCAGCACCAATAGATGACGTCTTCTCATCCTTCTCCTTCTCCTCCTCCTCCTCCTCCTCCTCCTCCTCCTCCCCCTAACCCCCTTACTTTGAGACAGAGTCTCACTCTGTCGCCCAGGCTGGAGTGCAGTGGTGTCAATCATAACTCACTGCAGCCTGGAATTCCTGGGCTCAAGCGATCCTCCCACCTCAGGCCCCCAAGTAGCTGAGCACACACTAGATTTTGGAATTTTTTTTATAGCAACAAAGTCTAACTCTGCTGCCCAGGTTGGAATAGGCTTCTTTTTTAATAGCAAGACATTGACACAACTTTATTGTAATCATTCAGAATTTTAGTTCCAGAAAGGTATGGATTTTCTTTTATATTATGTCAATTACTTTAAAAATGTTATGTCTTGTCTGTTTGGGGTTATTTTATAACAATTGCATTAAACCTCATTTTCTCAGTAATTACTTGGACTTAACTGTATATTTTTCAAATAGCTTTATTAGGATATCACTGACATAGAAAATTTTATACATTTAAGGCGTACCACTTGGTGTTTTGAAGCTCATATACATTGTGAAATGATCACCACATTGCAGCTAATTAACATATCTATCACCTCTATATAGTTACCATGTTTGTGAGCGTGTGTGTATGTGTCAAGAGGATTTATTTTAAGATCTATGCCCTCAGTAAATTTCAAGTATACAATACAGTATTGTTAACTATCCTCACCATGCCATAGATTATATCTATAGAACGTATTCACCTTGCAAACTTTGTACCCTTTGACCAACATCACCCCAATTCCCCTGCCCCGGCAAACACCATCCTACCTACTGGGTCTACAAGTCAAAGGTTTAGACCATGCAGAGACTGGATCTGCTCTGGCTTGATTCTGAAACACCTCATGGCAATTTTGCCAGGGTAACAGTGTCACCAGAGTTCTTAATGTGAAGGATTTTCATATGACTCTCTCCCTTTTTTGGTGTCACCAGAAAACCCAATGACCTCTTCTTCTCTGAGAACTGCGTATAGGGAGATGCGAATATCTGCATATGGTAGGCATGAATTATTCAGCCTCAGAGAGACCAGACCTCACAGAGCACTTTATTAGGGGGAACTGGAGGCTTCAAAGGGATAAATGGGGGCCATGAAAGTTGAAGAGATAGGGTCTCACACTGAGAAGAGGTCAAAGGGGGTAGGGCATTATGTTTGAAGAGAAGCCAAGCTGAAGGAAACGGAGTAAGCAAATCCTGGTTTTGGACCTGCCAAGGTTTTGGAGGCTGAGATTTGGCTGGTGGCAGCTGACATGGAACATCTGTAAGGCACACACGGAGAGAGCCCTGGACCACGACGAGCTGAACCCTGGAGGTCCTGTGGCTCCTGGTTATCTCATCCAGAGGGATCAGTCTGTGAGACAGAAGAATAAAGAGTGAGATGCTTGAATCCCGGCCACCTTAGGAACCAAATCTTGCAGTTAATGGAAAAAAGGAGGTGGGATCATTTTTACGTCTTTTGGCAAGAAAAATAAAAACAGTAGTGAGGCGAGTTTGGGGGCTCATGGAGCGATCATGAGTTCTGATTTATTCAGTGGGGTCCAGTTTTTGCCTGTAGACCTGTGTAAGAATTAATGGCACCCCATTTTGAAACACTCTCAAAAGTGCCTTGGTTTGGCCAATAAAGTATGTCATTGCCTTAGCTATATATGAACTTAAAAAGGAAGAAAAGTGGCGACAAAGTCTGGTGAGTAGGAAAGGCCTGTCATGATCGGCTGGGGAAGGGTGTCCAAGTGCAGGGCTGCCCTACTGACCTCCTTCTGACTTGGCCTGGGGTGCCCCACTGCTCTGTTTGTGCACCCTCTTCTCTCTGTCCCCATTCTTCCCTCATACTTGCCAATTTCCCTCTGACTACTGCCTCCATTCCCACCCTCTCTTTCCCAAAATGTCCTTCTACTTACACCTCTGCAAGGTGCGTTCAGACCTCCTGATCGGAGCTGGCTCTGTCCCCCCCCCCCCACAAGCCTATCAAGACCTTGGAACAGACCAGCCAACACCCAGACCTCTCCATGTGGCCTTGGTGAGCACAGGAGACTGGGGCCCCTGGGACTTACATCTTTTTTGGCAGGTGACCAAGCAGATAGCTTCAGATTGGAAGTTGTTATTGTTTCCTAGGCAACCGCCATAGATGAATTTGGAGCAGCGCTCGGTGTCTTTATCATACCACCAGCGCGGAATGTAGGCCAGGCAGGGGCCACCTATCTGCGGCATACCACATATGTCTGCAGAGAGAAAGCAGAGCACCATGGTGTGGGTACCTGTGTCCCTGGAGAACGTTCATCTTTTTCTTCCTGGGGCCACTGCTCTCTTTATCTCCCCTGAGAGGCCAATGTGGCTCAGGCCTGTGCTCCCAGTTCAGTGTGAACCTTGACCACTCACTTTACCTCCCTGATCCTTGACTTCCTCATCTGTGAGACAAGAATACAAAATCCCACCCTGCTTGTCTTGCAGGGCAGCTGTGAGGGACAGCCGTGACACCACGTGGCCTCTCATACTGTGCCTCCCCAACATCTGAACACTAAATCTCGCTGATTTTGCCCCGTAAATGCTCTCCTTTGTTTCCTTCCTGCCACTTGCTTAACTCAGGAACCATTATATTTTGCCAGGACTGCCAGGAAAGGCCCCCAGCTGATCTCCAAGGCTTCTCCAATTGGCTCCACATTGCTTTCAAGAGTGACTGATCCATTGGGCTGAAAATAAAGTTCTATCAAAACCCAGAAGGACTTCAGAATCCAATTCCTCCTTCTCCTCCTCCTCTCTGGCTTTATGTCTCCTATTGCTCCAACACCCACCCTTTGGAACTTCATGCTCTAAGAATAATCACATTCTCACACACCTCCATGCCTTTGCACATGCCTGAGGTCTCCATTCCTCTCTTGCTAACTGGGGGCACTCCTGCTCGTTCTTCAAAACCTTCCCAGACATCAACTCGTGCATGATGTCCTTCCTGCATCCATTCTCGACCCCGTGTTTTTCTTAACTGCTTCTCAATCTTGGACATACTTTCTTCACTTCTGTTTAATTTCCTGTTCATATTTTCTGTTTCCTCCATGAGAACATGAAGCTTTTCAAGGTACAAATTGTGCTTTAATGTCACCTTGGAACAGCGGTTCCTAGCAGATACTTTGGCACAGAGTGGATGCTTCAGGGGTATTCAGAGAAACAAACAAACAAACAAACAAAAACCAAAAAGAATGTATCCTGAACTTAAAGAGGCATTTACTGAGCGAGCAACTGCTTTGCCCACAGTACTACGAGGTACAAATAGAGTTCTTTAGAATCTCTTAGTGTGAAGCACAGCAGAACAATAATCATAGCAGTTACTGAGTGCCGGGCCCTGCTCTTCGCATCTGACATGCATTAACATGTAATCGTATGAAGCAGGCCCCCTTTTGTTCTCATTATGCAGAGAGGGAGACTGAGGTTTGCAGAGGCTGAGTAACTTTCCTGAGGTCACGTGCATGGTAAGAGATTCGGACGTGGACAATCCATTGCTCTTAGGACCAAGAGCAAATCCCTTAGGGCGGCCGCCACGAAAGCCAGCTTCACTTTCTCATCTCCTCCTGTGCCCACGCTACTCTCCGCGTCGCTGCCTTGCTGGGCCTGGGCATGCTGACCGCACACAGCCTTCGCACGTGCGGTGACTGCGCCGGGAGGCTACTCCCTCCCGCTTTTGCCTGTGTGCGACCCATCGTTCAGATCTTAAATCATGGATCCCTTTTCCAGGAAAAGCTTTTCTGATCCCCATGGCCACAGAGAGCGAGTGGAGCCTGCCACGGGTGCAAGGCCACCAAAGAATATTTGTTGAATGAATAGTCCCTGATGGTCTTTAGAGCCCGATTATGGGCAGAGCAGAAAGAGTGAGGAGGTCTAAGGTGGTCAGGGAAAGAATCGCTGGTTTACATGGACAGAGAGGCCTGGAGAAAAAAAGTCAGGAAATGCAGATCATATCCCTGTCTCTTGTAGCCATGGTAAAACCTGATATAATGTTGGCAGTGCAGGTGGGGTAGGAGGTGAGGGCTTTGGGTAATTCACAGGGTCTTTCAGTTACCTTTTCTGAGGTCTAAACATTTCTTTCCACAGCTAAACAGGCAACACTTCATGTTTTCTGGGCAATGTCTGTTCTTGGTACATTGGTCCCTTTCTTCGAATTCACACTTTACTCTAACTTTGGGACACGCTCCTAAAGGAGGGAGAGACATATTCCCTTGAGGCCTTAAAGGGGCCAGTGCTCTCTCTTCTAAGGACCTGGGCACCACTGCAGAGTCAGGGAAACTTGTCACTTCCCCTGTCCCCAGAAGGTAGTGACCCTCAGAGGGCTCAGGAATTTCACACCACCACCCACATCCCTAACCCCAGAACAACTCACTAATCCCTAATCCAAACCCCAGCCCCCACCCTCAGCACCCATAAGGTGCCAGAGAGAAGGATGCTTTGCTCTAGGACTATTCTGGTCACTCTGCCTTCCTGTGCTCTGGTGTTTCCCCAGGAGACATGGTAGCCGGCACAATGGAGACCTCCATTTCTGGCATCAGGTGGCTGGGCTCTTGGATTTGGCCCCAGCCTTGGTGTGGCAGGTACCCTTTCTGAACCCTGATTTCCTCATTTGCCTCTAGGGTTGTTTTGAAGACTAATGCAACAAAGTTTGAAAAGCCATTGTCAAAGTGCCTGGGGCAAAATCATAATGACTAATATTGAGGAAGCACTTACTATGTGCCTGGCCTTTTCTCCTTAATGCCCAGTTCAACTCTAGGGGCAAGTTTAAGATTCACATTTTATAAACAGAGGAATCTGAAACACAGGGTGGTTATGTGACCTTGCTCAAGATCACACAGCTACTGAGGGGTGGAGGCAGGCTTTGAACCTACGACGTGTGGCTCCTGAGCGCCCACTTTCAACCACTACTTTTCAAGTGCTCAGTATATAAAGCTGCTAATTAAGGGCCTTCGTATTTCCGCATTTGAAGCGACTTCCGGGGACCATTTTCACCCCAAAGGCAAGGGTCCTCTGGGTGTGGGGTGGGGGTGGGGAAAGCTTTGGGGGCTGCCATGGGAGGATGTGGGAGCTGATGACGTGGTGCTGGGGAGTGGCCTGTTTTTCCTATGGAAAGTTCCCTGGGCTTCCCGGTGCCTTAGTCCATTTCCTGAGGTCTAGGTGCGGGCACCTCCTGGAAGAACGCCCTGCAATGGCAGTGAGGAGTCAGTTGCCACAGACTTAGGTTCCTGCATTCACCAAAGTCACCTTGCCAAGAGGAAGGGGCTGAAACAGTGGCTCCAAGTAACTGCCCCTCCCAGCCAGGGTCCCAGGCTGAGACAGAGGAGAACACCCCTCGTCTGTGAAATGGTTCCTTTTTCCTTCCTCCCCATTGAGTTCCCTGTCTTCGCTGCAAGGACCGAGTCCCCAGCACTTACTGAGGAAGGTCCCTTCAACCGGCCCAGGTCCCTGGATGCCCTCCAGGAGGATGAACGGTGCTAGGATTGGCAGAAGTCCCAAAAGTCCCATTTTAGAAGGTACTGGCCCAGCTGGTTGCACCAAAACTAGGAGCTGCTGCCCAGGAGCTCCTGCCTTTGAACTTTTGTTTTCTTTCCTCTCCGACCTCTGTTTCTTTCCTGTTAATCCTGCCTCTGAACTCTGCATGCTCCGGTGCAGCCTCACATGTGAGGAGCTGGCACTGGACACGAGCCAGCCACACTCGCTCTGCTGGGAACACCAACTCCCCGAGGCCACCAGTGGGATTAGCTGGTACCTACCCTGCTGGAAGGAGCTATCGCTAGGCCCTCCTCATCCTCAGCGGTCTGAGCCCCCCTGGCTCTCTGGTCTGCAGGGGAGACGGGTGCATCTTGTCTGGCCTCTCCAGAGTTCCTTAGCAGAAGGGGGTGTTTGACTGCAGAGTCTCCCATTTCCCATGGGAAGTTTGCAGGTCAAGAGTAGCCTGGTTCTCATCTTTCCTTCTACTTTTACTCCTCCTGTCATGTCTATTTTTCTCATGCTGTTTCTTTTTCTCCCTTTTATGCCTCTCTGTGCCTTGTACCCTGTGCTTTTCCTCTTTTCCAGTGGGTCTCTCTGTGTCTGGGATCCTTTCTCCCCACCCTTCCCTTCTCTCTCTCTCCTCTTCGGTGCATCCATTTTCTTGAGACATTGTCAGAATAAAGATATTGTCGTGAGTGGGGTTTGAGGGAAGAAACAGGTTGATTCCAGGCCCCACTGAACCTTCAGAAACTGTCTGTCCAGGTCATGGTAGTTGAAATAAGATGATGACAGCTTCTATCAGGGGTACATTTTAAATTGGTGGTGCAGAAGACAAATACTAAATGGCAGTTATGATTTCAGAACCAGCGGCCACATCGGGAACTGAAGAATGTTCCACTGGCCTCCCCGGAGTGCGGCAGGCTCTCTGGAAGTGGACAGTATGTGGGAGCGAGTGGATCTGTAGAAATCAAGTGTACTGCAGTGGGGACCAGCACCACTCCTCCCCTCAGGCTCTGGGCTCCCCTTCAATTCTCCTGCAGCTGCAAGAGACAGTCCCACTACACATTGTTTTCTTAATCCATTTGTAAAAATTGAAGTACAATTCACATCACATAAAATTAGCCATTTTAAAGAGAGAGCAATTCAGTGGGTTTTTTTTTTTAGTACATGCTCAATGTTGTGTACCCACCAACTCTATTGGTCCAAACCATTTTTTCACTCCAGATGAAAACTCCCTACCCATTAGCACTCGCTCCTGATTTCCTCCTAACCCACTCCACGCCCTGGCATCCACTAATCTACTTTCTATCTCTAGAGATTTACCTATCTGCATATTTTGTATAAATGGAATCATGCAGTGTGCTACCTTTCATGCCTGGCTTCTTTCACTTCCCAGAATGTTTTTAAGGTTCATCCGCAGGGTAGCAATAGCACTTCATTCTTTTTTCTGGCTGAATAATATCCAGTGCACAGGGACAGTCTCCCAGCCCCAGTGCCAGAGTCCCTACTTCTCTGCTGTGAGTTTTCTCTGGCTTCCTGGGAGTTGCTCAGCTTGCATGAGGAATAAACAGTCTGGAAGAGCGAGGGATTTAGCATCCTGGGCATCAGGTGGGGAATGGAATCAGTGGTGAGTGCCTCCCCTCCCTGTCCCCAGAGACAGATGAAGACAATTTGAAGGTCTGTTTTACATGATTCTTTAGAGGATCCCCGGTGGGATTGAGCCACAGTTCACCACAGTGATAAGCAGCTCACAAATGACCCTTCTCTCTTCCCTGCGACACTTACCACACTCCCCACCCAGTGCTTCTTGGGAGAGATCTCTCCAATAGACTCCTTCGCCCATGTTCTTGTCCAGGGTCAGTTTCTGGGAGATCCAAACTAAGGCAGCATCCGTGGGCCCTTGCCTTAAAAGGGTTTTACAATATTTTGAAGAAACAGAGGAGGATAACAATATCCCTGGAAGTCTCGACTCTCAAGATTCTCACTGTCCTCCGTTCGCTGATGTCACCAAGAGCCTCAACGTGCCAAGCGGGTGTGAATGACTCAGCTTCAGAGTAAAGGACTAAGCCAAGAACTTTATTGGGAATAATTTGGAGACTGTATAAACAGGGGGCTTTAGAAGTCAGCGATAAGGGGTAAGGCATAAATATGGGATCACCTGAAAGATAGTATTCATGAAAAGGGGTGGAGAGGGAGGACGGGCAGGCAGACCCTGCGGTTCAGTGTGGGGGGAGGTAGGGCCTCGGATCGCTGAGACTGCAACGGGGGAAGCCAAGCCGGAGCATCAGGCAGGTTCCGGGACAGGTCCTCAGAACACGAGCCAAATCCTGGCCGTTGTCCCACTGTGTCCTTCTCCGTTCAGGAAGAGAGGCCTGTTGAGAAAGTAGGACAAGACCAGCAGAGCATGCTGGGCTCCGCTTATCCTTGGAAGCTGCAGTCATGTTTGTACATCTTTTGCCAGGAAGAGGTTAAAGGAAGTGGCTTTGCTTAGGAAGCTACTCATCTCCTTCAAGGAAAACTGAACGGGAGGGGATTGCTGGCAAAAGCCGTGTTGAGGAAATCGATGGCATGCAAGGGTGCTTGGATCACATGTCTAGGCTGAATGTCCCGTGACCGTTCTGCAACAGGCGTCTGAGATTTCACTATGTCTGCAACTCTCTCCACCATCCTACTTCTCCGCGTACTTGCCAGCTTTGATTCATCTCCGCGTCCCTGCCCATCCTCTATCCCCAGAAAGCCACATTGTCTACCCCTTTTCGAGGTGCCCTCTCGCCTCCTGCTTGGAGCTGGTCTGTCATCGCCAGGTCTGCCAAGCACGCAGCTATCCCGGGACGGAGCAGCCGACACCCGGCCTCCCAGCAGGGCCCTGGCGAGACTGGGGCCCCGAACTCACGTCTTCTGTAGCAGGCGCTCATGCAGACGGATTTGGATTGGAAGTTGTTATTGTTTCCCATGCAGCCGCCGTAGACGAAACGGGAGCAGGTATTGCTCTTCTGATTGTACCACCAGCGAAAAAAGAGAGCCATGCACGGGCCGGCGTCTTTGCGCAAGCTGCATATGTCTGCCAAGAGAGCCGGGAGTCGAGAACCCAGAGTAGCCACCTGAGAACAGAATCGCCGCCCTGGCAACCGCCACAGATGGAACTGGATAGACCCCTCTTCCCTATCTATCACAGCGCGGGACCCAGGCTCCACGGACATATTGCACACGTCGCCAGGGAGACGCCAGATGCGTGTCTGCGTCCCTGGAGACGGGGTCGCTGTGGATGCAGTTAGTTAAGACGAGGTCGTCCCAAAGCAGGGTGGGCCCTCATCTGATCTGACCGGTGTCCTTAAAGCAGAGTAGATGTGGACAGAGTCTCACTCAGAGGGAGGGCACCCTGTGAGCACGACGGCAGAGGTCGGGGTGATGCGTCTGCAAGCCAAGGAGCACCAGCGGTTCCCAGCACAGCGCCAGGAGCCAGGGGTGGCAGGGCGCAGATTGTCCCTCGCCATCCTGACACCTGGCCACCCCGAGAAGGAGCCAGGCCTGCTGATCCCTGGACCTGGGACTTGTGGCCTGCAGCACCGTGGCTCAATCCGTGTCTGTGGGTTAAGCCGCCTGGCCTGTGGTGCTCTGTGACAGCACCGCCAACAAAGTGACACAGGCCCCGACTAAAGAGTGCCTGCGTAGTCCTGCACGGCGAGGGGGATCACAGCTACACAGTGACGTCCTGCTGATTTCCACTTCCTAAGACCCCAGCTCTCTGCCAGTCTGTTCCACTGAAGCCTCAGCATGTCACGTGTGGGCTGTGGAGATAACCTCGCAGCCATTCTCCTGCCTCCAGTCCTGGCCCTCCAATCAATCCTCTAAGCTGCCGCCAGAGAGAAGGCTCAGGTGGGTCTGAAGGCTGAGCTGAGCCTGTCAGTCCACGGATAAGACCTGCCTTGACTTCCCGGCATAGTCCTGCCGTGACTCTCAAGGCCCTTCTCCATCTGGCCCCTACAGTGGCTCTGGCCTGCTCCCCTGCCAGTGAGCTGCCCGCTGCCCCAACGCTCAGCACACCGTGTGCCGCCCCCAGGCCATTGTCCTGCCACGCGCCCCCTGCCGCTCATTAGCCACACTCCCATTCTTCCTTCAAAGCCTTTCTCAGACACCTGCTCCCCTGTGATGTCACTCCTGACCCCATCCCACCTGCCACACTGCCACACCGCCCTGCAGAATCTTGTGCGCATGTTCCTTGTTTGTTTACGTCTTTGGTCTCATCCCGAGGGTGCGATTGTCCAGTGAGCAGGGACTGTGTCTGCTCTCATCTAGGAATCCCAAGTCCCCAACAGGCAGCCTGGCCTAGTTAAGGACTTTACGGAATGTTGAGGGCAAAATAAAATATATCTTGATCTGAACTGAATAAATCATTCGTTGAACACCTACTATGTGCTAAATGCTTTAAGAGACAAAGCAAAGGCAATGGCCTTGGCTACTTAGGAGCTGCCAGTCAGGAATGACAAATGATTTGAGCTAATATATGTCAGGTTGCCATTAGGTGCCTGGCATTGCTGTAAGCACTCCATGCACATCCATTAATTTAATCCTCAAAACGACCTTTAACACTGGTCCTTTCATTATCTGGAGAAACTGAGGCACAGTGAGGGGAGGTTGTCGATTTTCCCAAGGGTAAAAGGCTGGTAAAAACTGGACTGAGACGTGCACCAGGAGGACTGGTTTCGGGATCCTGGCCTGCGGGTGTGTGAACACGTAGCCGGCCTGCTCGCCCCACCCCCTGCCGAGCCCAGTGCTCTGCCCCTCCCAGATACCTCTCCCACACCCCATCCTCCCCATGCCCTCCGCCACCTCCCCAGTCCAGGATACCTTTTTCTTTCACCTCGATGTCCTTCAAGATGCTCCGTTCCTCCTCTTTCCCTCTCCCAAGGCATTGTACAAACCCGATCACGGACCCAGCCCTCCACACGGGATTTCTGTGGCCCTTAGGATCAAGGCGAGACCCTCTAACCTGGCCCACCAGACCTGGGTAGTCTAATCCCCACCTCCCCGGGATCTCTCTTCCTTGACCCGCGCTCACCCGCACTCTGCATGCTCTGCCCTGTGCCTACAAAGCCCTTCCACGCGCTTTGTGCCTAAAATCCTGCCCATCTTTTAAAGTCAACTCCACACTTGCTTTTTCAGAGCAGGCTTTGCCCACCTTCCTGACCACGCTGAGCAGGCCAAATCCCAGGATGGGTTTCAGAGGCACTCAAGAAGTATTTGTTAAACCAATAAATACAGAGTCTTTGATCGTCTTTTTGGAGCCCAGGGAGATGGACATGGAGTTGAGATCGCAGCAGCAAAGGGAAAGCCCTCCTGTCTGGAGTGGGCAGGGGAGGGTTCCCTGTGCAACGTTGTGTAGGCAGAGAGTGGTCTCCCCAGAGCAAGGAGCTAGGAAATACACATAGCTAACTCCTCATGGGCAGCAACAATGTTGCTGTACATCAGGACAACAATGGCCGCCCGGGAACTCAGAAAATCATGAATGCAAAAAGTAGCCATGTAGCCAAAAAGCCATCTGATTCAATTCCACCCTTCACCCATCTCTGGGGAAAGTGAGTCTCACACATTCTCTGATGGGACAAGGACATTACTAATGCCACACATCATAGTAGAGGCAGCAAGGAACCTACATCCCAGCTCTCTGGAATCCAGCACTCTTGTCCAGAGAGCACCCGCAGTGAACCGGGGACGGCGCCAGCCCATGCAGGCAGCAGGTGAGGACGTGGGGAGGGGAGCTGGCTGGTATTAGGAGGCTCTGACGATTACCATGTCTATACGTGTCCATGTGTAAACACTTTTTTCCACAGCCGAAGACACAGCACTTCTTGTTGTCCTGGCATTGTCTGTCCGCCGTACACGCATCCCTTTCTTTGTATTCACATCGCTCTCTGAGTCTGGGGCATCTGCCTAGGAGAGGAGCAGTCTTTCAACGTGAGCCTTGGGGGGCACAGGGCCCATCCTTTGGGAGACACAGGCCCTTCTAGGGAGACAGGGAAGTTTGCTTTCATGCTGTCCGATCCCGGGAGTCTTTTTCCACGGGGTGGCGCACGTGTCTCCCTGTGTCCAGCGCCCTCCCAGCTGACCGCCTGCTCACCCCAGTCCCCAGCCCCACCCCTGCTAAAAGGTGCAGTTTCTCAACCACTAGTGACATTCGAGCCGGATAACACTTCCTTGTGGGGACTGTCCTGCACACTGTAGAGTTTTTAGCAGCACCCCTCGCCTCTACCCGTTACATAGAGTCGCACCCTTAACTGAGACAAGATAAAACGCCTCCCAACATTGATATGTCCCTGGCAAGGCAAAATAGCCTTTTTGGGTTTAAGCTGGTGTAAGCGTATCTGCTCCTTTGCCTTGTTGAGGAGTCAATGTCTGCAAGTTCCGCTGGGCGGCAGTAGGATTCCAGGAGTCAGCAGTCCCCAGCCCTTTTTGGCATGAGGGACAGTTTCATGGGAGAGGGTTTTCCCAGGGCCTGGCGGGTGAGGTGGGGAAGGCAGGCGATGGGGAGCAGCTCCACACACAGAGGAAGCTTCGCTCACTCACGGCCACTCACCTCCCGCTGTGTGGCCCGTTCCTAACAGACCAGCTCCCAGCTCCACACACAGAGGAAGCTTCGCTCACTCACGGCCACTCACCTCCCGCTGTGTGGCCCGTTCCTGACAGACCAGCTCCGGTCCCTGGCCTGGGCTTTGGGGACCGCAGCAGTGGTTAATGTCACTCACCCTGGGCTCAGTTTAGCTTTTGGATTCTAACTCTGGGTCTGCCACTTACCCTCTCTCAACCCTGGTGTCTTAGTCTGCAAAAGCGTTTTGGCCTCACAGACTTGTGAGGAGGAAATGAGACAAAGCGTGTCAAGCTCTAATCATAGCCAGTGACGCACAGTGACCTTACCCAACATTGCCCAAGACCTTACTAGGAGCCAAACTCTCTTGCAAGCATTTTAACGCATTGCTGCATTTAATCCCCATAACAGCTCTGTGACAAGAGTCCTTTTAATATCCCCATTTTACAGATGAGGAAACCAAAGCACATGGAATGGAAGTAACTTGGCCAAACTTAGGTGGCTACCAAAATTTGGAGCCACTAAGCCTGACTCCAGATTTCTCTTTCTTTGTTTGATTTTTAAGAAATCCCTACTCAGAAATCCCTATGTTCTCAGTGTTCAGAAAATGGTAACAATTATCATTATTACCACAGAGTGATGGAGCATTAGTGTCTTCAGTTTAGATGGACTTCTGGAGACTGTCCTTGATCCCAAAGTCCAGGACCCCCTGGGGGTGCAGGGACGCTTTCTAGAGGTACATTTGAAAGAACCAGGAGCGGAGAGAATTGACATCCTGAGGAGGGGGCTGTCTTTCCCATGGGGTGAGGGAAGGTCCCTTAGGCTGCCCAGATTCCAATTTCTATAAGCCCCTCCTAGAAGTGGTAGATCCTGTGACTCTCCCCGCCCGCGCCCCTGCCCCCATCCCAAGAACGATCTTCCACTTTAAGGGGCTGAAAGTGGCAATCACCTATGTCAGGGTTCCTGCGTTCACAGACGGGGTCTTCCAAACCTCCTTCCTCTCCCAACCCTGGACTGGGACTAAGATGGTGGAAAGCAACCCTGATCTGACAATTTGTTCCCTCTTTCTTCCTCCCAGCAAACTCTCCTCTCCCCAGGCCAAGGGCTGAGGCCCAGCACTTACTGGGAAAGAGCCAGTCGGTCAGACCAGATCCCTGGACATCTGTGACGAGGATGCATAGCACCAGGAGGCTCAAAAGTCCGGAATATTCCATTCTGAAGTCAGACCTGCCTGTCTGGTGCTTCTGGAACTTGGAAATGGCTGGCTGCCTTGGCCCTGCCTATTCCTTCAGTAGCCAGCGCCTCGGGTATAAGAATTGGACACAATCCAGCCACCCCCTTTCCTGCTGGGAACGCCAAGTTCCAAGGTCGTCCATGGACTGACTGGCACCCACAGGTCATGGCACTGGGGGAGGGTCTGTCGCTGGACGGCTCCTGGCCCTGACCCCTGGGCTGCGCTCTGCTGGGCCCTCTGTCAACCCGGGGAGTCAGGAAGCTGATCTCCCACTTTCCAGGCTGCCTTAGACGTGAATGCCACCACCTCGGGTCTTGGTCTTGGTAACCTGGAGAGCTGCAGAGCTCATCCTTCATTCATTTTGCGTTTACATGCAGGCCACCAGCACACCCCCTTCTGTCTGTCCCTGACAGTTTGTCTCTGCCAGTCTCCCGGTAACTCATTTCTCTGGGATGCTTTGTGCCTATATCTTACTTTTTTGTCTTTTTCTCTGGGTCTGTCGTGGTTTCTGTGTCCCTTCCTCCCTCTCCCGCAGTTTCCTCCCATCCTTCTCCCTTTTATCTTCTCTTTGAGTCACTTGTATTCTCTAAGGCCAGAGGGTAAATTTTTCTATTATTATTACATTGTAATATAGAATGAAGTAATTATACAACTCACCATAAGTTGGGGACCTTTGCATTATGGGATGTTTGGCTTCCCTGGCCAGTGCCCATCAGTTGTCAATATTGCCTCCCAGTCTGAAACCAACCAAAGTGGCGGGTGGGGGCGGGGAGACACACAGAGATGCAGGTGTCCAAGGCTAGGTGACAGTGTCCCACTTAGAACCACTGAGCCAGTGGTAGAAATGGCTGGGTCTTAGCATACCAGGGTTTTACTGGCCATTGCCAAATTGTTCTTCAAAATGATTCCCTCTGTTGTCAATTCCTGCCAGCCCTTGATTTTTATCAGTCTTGGTTATGAAACAGTGTGTTATGAGTTTGTGTAATTCCCTGTTCTATAAAGGTTAAACTTTTTATTCATGAGTTTATTTGTCAAATATTCTAATACAAAATACATATTCACATTCTTGAATTGTCTAGTTCTAAAATTTCTTTTTTCCTCCTTTTAGGAGGTAGATGACTTCTTTGAGCAAGAGAAGGACTTCCTTATTAATTATTACTATAGGATCAAGGATTCCTGTGTGAAAGCTGACAAAATGACCAGATCTCATAAAAGTAAGTACCATTCATTCCCTAGCCACTTAGAGGTTTGCTACTGTGCCTGGCTTTGTTCCTCTAAAAGGGGCTATCCTTTTTTCTGCAGGTGCTGCTAGTGATTATGTTTGCACTACAGCCTGCTCACATAGCCTGGCTTTGGAAGAGCCCACGGTCATCAAAAAGTAAGTTTTTGTTGGAAAAGCATTTGCCATGACTTAAATGAAGACTTTTGATTGGTATACTTACAAAAATAATGAGTAATGACTACGTAGTTTCAGTTCTGCTTTGGAGATGAGATACAAGTTCATTAAGGAAGGTCTTCAGCTCTCAAGTCTTATATCCTCTGTACTTACGACACTTCTAAGGCAGGAGGGGACTTAGAAAACTCTTCTGTAGATGAACAAATGTGGTAGCTGTTGCCAAAGCCTTTATTTCTGTCAAACTTAAATGTCTCAGTTTTAATTTTGGAAACTTACCTTTTATCTTCTGACAGTTGGTGCTTGTCATTTTGCCTCGTAGCATCCTGGACTCTATTGGTTTGGTTGTGGTGGTCGTGAAAATACTATAATCACCGCAGTCTGATCTTGCACTTATTTTTATACATGTTTTTCACAGTTTCTCCCTCCTGGGCATTTGTGGTGTAAGACAGCATTTTGCTTAACACCTATGGTTTTGAAAGAACAGGTGGTTTTACTTCTGATTTGAAATTGAAAGTCAAGTTAATGGCAGAAGACAAATGAAGTAGTAGCATATTCTATAGCTGTGATGGCCACAGCAGTAGCTCATTAGAACCTGATCTTGGTTAAAACAGCATTGGTGTCTGATAAGAATTATCCTGGTCACATGGCAGGACGACCGAAAGGCCTCCAAGAGAGGTGCCACCAGGTGGCACTGTAAGCACGTACAGTTTATAATCATTCTCTACTGTTCTAGGCCAATTGGAATGAAAGAACTACTTTAAAGTGCTAAAGGCTAGAACGTCTGAGTTTATTCATTCATGTCTTGGGGTATTGATGAGATCGTATTTCATAGCTTATTTAAGGCCTTAAACCAAAATGATGTGGATGTTTTCAGGTACCTATTGAAGGTTGCTGAGCTATTGGAAAAACTTAGGGTAAGATTTTTGTGTCAGTCTTTATAATGCATATTTTATAATCTGTATTTCTGCCTCGATGGTGGTGACCTTTACTTTTTTAAATAGAAAGTAGAGGGTTGAGTCTCATCAGATGAAGATTTAAAGCTGACAGAGCTTCTCTGATACTACATGCCCAACATAGAGGCTGCTAAGTTAAGACAGGTTGTTTTATTCATTGGAGCAGTACGATACCTTGCCATGAACAGAAGTCTCCTGCGAGGAGATATTTTCTCTTTGTTTAAAAGGGAAGTTAACTTTTATACTCAGGAGGAAGATAGGAATTTGTTAGGTGTGTTTGTGTAAATGATAGGCCTTTCTTTGGCCTTATATCTTTCTTTAAAGCTTATATTGTTGGCAGCACTGTAGGGGTTGTACTGATACTAGTTTTTGGCATCATAGGTTATTGGATGTGGATATAAAATACTGAAAGGGCTATTTCTGAGGCAGAAAAGGTTGGGGGGTTTGTGAGTTTTTATCGAATTGTAGCTGTCTCTGTAGACTTTGAGCCACAAAGCATTACTTATGATAAACAAGACTAAGCGGTAAACAGAATATTGTTTGGGAATTAAACATGCATTTCTTTACTGTCTGAATTGCCCCAAACAAAAATGTTTAAGTTAATTTTACATGAAATATGCTAAATCAGGCAACATAAAATTAGGTAGGTAGGATTCTGTACCTTCTAAGGTTATATATAGCAAGGAGAAATGTCATCAGAAAGTAAAAATACATTTTTCCCAAATGGAGTACTTTTATTTTTGGTTAATTTGCCTTTTGACATGTTTTCTTAGTCTTATATTTGAACATTTTTAAATGCATTTTAGACTTTTAGCTTATTTTCTCCTTTCATGGAATCAAGAGCTCACTTTAAATTTTTTGAGTATACACAAAAGTAGATAAGATAGTTTCACCTGGCTTTAATTATCTATCGTGCCAGTTTTTAAGAACTGCATAATCTGTGCATCATAATTGCTAATTTTAGATGCTGAGGTATCCTCTTTGCTTATAAGATTTGTGAAGAATCTTTATTTCAGATTAGGTGGATCCCCAGGGTAGACTACCAGAAGCAGGGTTTGCAGGGAAGGTTCTATGTTTCTTACTATCTCATTGCCCAGTTGTATTTTAGCAGCATTTCACTTGCCCAGCAATAACTGTACATGTGTTTTGATATACAGTGTTTAGTTTTTTGAAATTACCTACAGTTATTGAATCAACTGTGAAAAAATTCTTCTGTTTTTACTCTGTTGGAGTTTTCCCTTGGCCATATAAAGAATTCTGGAAAAAGCTCTCAACAATGCTGTCAGAGTTGCTCATCCCTATTGAAGCTGGAGATTAAATAATAACGGGAATGGGAGGTGTAGGGGTTGATTAGGTTCTTGCCATCTAACAATTTAGACAGTGCATTGGCACTGGGTACATGGTTAGAATGGTTTAGATATTTATTTGGTACTCCAGTTCTCTGTGGTTTTTTTATGTTGTACCTGTTAATTTCCTTCCCAGGATCTCTTACACAGACGCACCAAAGCCCTCATTGACTATGAGAACTCAAAGAAAGCTCTGGATAAGGCCCGGCTAAAAAGCAGAGACGTCAAGGTGGCTGAGGCACACCGGCAAGAATGCTGCCAGAAATGGGAACAGCTTTCTGAATCTGCAAAAGAAGGTCCAACAGGGATATTCTTTTCTTTGGAAATAATTTCAGGCTTACAGAGGAAAAGTTGCACACAATAGTGCAAAAATCACCCACGTTCCTTCACCCGGCGTCATCCAGTGTCAGCACGTGGCCCTCATCTACTGTATCACTTGCACGCGCACAATTATTGTCACGCTTCCTGAGTGTTCGTAAACACTCTGGGGCTTTTTTGTTTTTGTTTTTTGTTTTATTGAACCATTTGAGATAAGTTGCATACATCACGGTTCTTTTATCCCTAAGAACATTGTTATATATGTTTCCTATGACTGAGGTCATCCTCTTACAACCCCACAATACAGTTATCCACTGCAGTAGACTCAACTCAGTCTACTGTCCGTATTCTCATAATGTTTGACCAATAATGTACTCCACTCCAGGAAACGGTCTGGGATTGCATCTGGCTATCTTAGCTCTTAGTCCTTTACTCCGGAACAGTTCTTGTTCATTTTTATATCTAATATGCTAAGTATGTCATTGTTCCTGGGGTGTCTCTCTCCAGGCCCTTCAGCAGGTAGAGCCAGGAGATGTAGGTGTGTGTGTACATGCACAGAGTTGCACACATACACAGGTTTCAGGGGTCATGAGTCTACACTGACTTCTAGTCCATGTCCAGGATTCTTTCTTGCCTTCTCCTATTCCAGGGGACTTTTTCTTTTTTTCTGCATTTTTTTTTTATTTTAGCGTATTATGGGGGTACAAGTGTTAAGGTTACTTATATTGCCCATGCCTCCCTCCCCCCCAGGGGACTTTTTAAATACAGCGTAACTTTATTGGGAGGTGGTACACCATTTGCATTGAACATGAATGTAATACATAGTTTTTCTTTCTTTTCCTTTTTCTTTTTAAAGAGACAGGGTCTCACTGTCACCCAGGTTGGAGAACAGTGGCCCGATCATAGTTTACTGCAACCTTGACCTTAGCCTCCCAAGTAGCTAAGACTATAGGCATGCACCACCATGCCTGGCTTATTTTTTTCTTTTTTAAATTTTATAGAAACTTCTATCTCACTATATTGCCCAGGCTGGTCTTGAACTCCTG